TATTCTGATGTTTGATGAAATATCATTATCATCTGCATTATTTTACGACTGTAAAAAGGATCATATTGTTGGTTTTCAAGAACTGGCAAATGGTAGGGAAAGTTTATTTGCTGATCATGCTCTTGTCTTTTTCAAAATTTTTCAAATCAAATAGTTGATACTTGAACTGTGCGCAATGTTCATATTTTTTGTGATTGTTTCATGAATGTGTTTTTTTTTATAAATTTATAGTAATAAATAATGAAGTTGTTGAATGTTTTAGCAAATGTAGAAATTGTAAATAAGTGGCTACTTCATGGAGTATATTTTGCTATACAGCTTATTTCTATTTATTATTGGTGATAATACGTTTAACAGATATCGAGAAGTATATAGATCATGAATTGTACAATAATTTACCGGATAATAGCAAAATAGTTTTCAAATGACATACCCATACAGTAATTCATTTTAGTAAGCTGTTGATATGCTTTTCAGATGAAAGTAATTTTGGTTTTATCTTTTAATTAAATTGGCAAATGTGTTTGCATATAACTTTCTTGAACTTTTACCAGTTACTGTTATGAGAACATAATAATTTCTTTTTCTTTGTGATAATGATGATAATGATATTTTGTTCAACATTTTAAAGCAGATTAACACAATGTGCAGAAAAGGTTTTCAGATAGAGACTATACATAGATTTAATGTAACTTAATCATTATTTGATTGAGCACCAAGATGAATATAAACAGAGTTATTTTACAAGAATATCTTAGGCATAAATTTTATTCCTTATTTTTGAATATGTTCCTCTTTTTTGATTGCAATACAAATTTATGACCTTTTTGAATTGTTGTTGCTGGGATTTTAAGTTACCTTTTGAGCGCATTAAGAGAGTTCTAGTAACTTCTATCTCTTGTTTGGTATTTATTATTCAGATCAATTCTCAATACTTTAGTTATATGGTATAGCTAATGTCTAAATTATATTTAAATTTTTTAGAAATCTAGAAAAAGATATATATATATAATTTAGATAGTTTTTTGACATGAAAGCACACACACACACATAATAAGAGTCTGTGCCCTTGGGCAGGTCTGTGAGCTAGAACTCGATCTTAATCAGGGAAGAATAGTGTGTGATATGAAATTGTCATTTCATTTTGCAGTGCTGCAATTGGGCTATTTTTGAATACAAGAAAGCGAGGCTTGGACACACCACCCTGTCCACACAAGACATTGAACAACCATATGTACATATATATATATATATATATATATATATATATATTAAATGGTGGATAATGTGTACATATATGTACACTATGCTATTCGTACAAAGTTTATGAATCTTAGTAGCATCTATTGTAATCATATATAATGTTATATATATATATATATATATATATATATATATAAATGGTGGATAATGTGTATGTGTATGTACATTTCTATGCTATTCATACATAGTTTATGAAGCTTAGTAGCTTCTATTGTAATCATTTATAGTGTTAAATATATATATATATATATATATATATATATATATATATGTATATATATATATAAATAGTGGATAATGTGTACGTGTTGTACATTTTTATGCTATTCGTACATAGTTTATAAAGCTCACTAATCGTCATACATTTATGTGCATTATATATATATATATATATATATATATATATATATATTACAGTACACATTATATATGTGTATATATACAAATATATAATATATACATTTATGCAAATTGCATATCTTATAAATATGTATTGTAATAGTATAATGTAACATGTCATTGTTGAAATTATACGCTTTTTTATATTCAATATGTATTGTAATAGTATAATGTAACATGTCATTGTTAAAATTATACGCTTTTTTATACTCAATTTTGGTTTTTTAATTTAAAAAAAAATTTTGAATTCAAACGGTCTATATAATATTGGTGCATTTCTTCAGCATTTTATATTCGCACCCATGGTCGACGCTGGCGCCATCTACATCGGGAGACGGAAACTAACCCGGGCAAATTGACAGTTTTGACCGAAAAACGTGGCAACGAGATATGGCCCGAGAGAGCGATCTATATACTCTTCTTTTATCTATGGCTGAAATCATGGCCGGTAATCTTCGAACAAACATCTGTAATTTTGTTTTTAGTTCCGTCTCTCTCGATTGGAGCGCTGGTAGCGCTTCAAAACGAGCTAAAGAAAATATTCGAGAATCTAATATGGCGGAATAATATTATAGTGTCAAAGTGTCAAATGTTGGTTAATAGTTTATAACTGTACAACAATGCGGAACACCAGCAAATATGCAAAAATGATGTATTTCCTGCAGAAAATGACGTAATATGTAAAATGATTAGTAAAATAAATGGAGCCCGGGCTGAGTACTGACGGTGAGAACTAGGTGAATAAGTTTTATTAATATCCACACAACAAAATACTCGCATCTATTACTAGCACTTCTGATAAAATTTTTTATTGTAGCTTAATAACTGAGACATTTAACAGTACCAATGCTAGGAATTTTAAGGTTAAAAATACAAGACATCCGTCTTACTAAATCCCTTTCTGGAAGGTATGTTATTGAAAAATTATTTTTTTATAACACCTTATATTCATAACAAATAGTTCTACATTGTTTTTTTTTCAGCAATTGTACTCTTGAAAGTAATGATAAAATATCAGTGAGAAAAATAAAAACACAGCAATCAATATTATAAGTTACAAGTGCAAGCCTAAAATTAGCTGACCAATATTGAAAATAGGACTCACAATTTTATGTCAATTCAGTTAAGAGAACACATAATCATATAAATAAAAGAAAATTCAAGGTAATGGTAAAATTCGACCCTTCTTTTAACACTGCTAATGTTAGTTGGGGATGTACTATGCCACAACAAAAGTTTGTGAGTAAAAAATTGCCTTTTGATATTTTATGAAAAAAATATGTCTACTAATAATTGTGCGTATAGTTTCTAAAGCTAAATACCATATTCTGTAATCATGTATGTAATATATAAAAATATATGCTTTTTAAAATTCAATTCAAACGTCTATAGTGGAAGACGGGAACTAAGCCAGATAATCGACAGATTTGTCCGGAAAAACGTAGCAACAAAATATGGCCCGAGAGAACGATCTATATACTCTTCTTTTATCTATGGCTGAAATAATGCAAAATATATATTTATAGTGTTGATGGATCACCGCCGTGGGTTCCTAAGCCCTATGATCGCATTTGCAGTGAACATTTCATTAGAGGAAAAAAATCGGACGAGGTATTGAGTCCTACCTATTTGCCAACAATATTTCCTTCAATTTACAAGCCTCGAAAAGTTAATGTAGTTTTTTTTTTGCAATTGGAATCAAATCATGTCTTTAAATAATGTCTATTGTAAGTCTTTAGTTTGACCAAAAATAATAAAAAAATGAGCAATTTAATTTATTATTTACTTATTTTATTGATAAAATATTTTTATCATTATTTTATTGTTTTTATTAAAAACTATTCCTAAATTACGACATAAGCTTTGAGGCACTTAACCTTAAAAATGTTTACTGCATTTCTTTATTTAATTAATCATTATACTGAATTATGTTTTAAGTACGTTGAAGTAAATTTAATAATTTCAATAAACATTCAGTGTTCACATTATTACTGTTTCTTGTTATTATTATTTATAACAATTATTTGTTGATATCTTTTTTCTTTAACAAACATATAAAACCCATGAAAAACCACTCACTGATAGACACAATTAGTTCATATTTATTACGGCGCTGCATAGGCGCTGCAGTCACGCATACAGCGAATAGAACTGAATAGAACCATAAAGAATTTGAAAAAACGCGCCACGATTAATGTCTCATCTTTCTGGAAATATACTCTCTATGTTTCAAATGTCATATAGTAATAGATAAATATAATGGGTGCGTTCGACTTGGACGCTTACGCGCTGTGAGCGCTCACGCTTATAAGCACGAATTTTTAGCGTTCGACTTGGCCGATAAGCGCTCAGAATCGATAACTAAATTCCGTTCGTTTTGGATACTGTGAGCGTCAATAAGCATCAAAATGGCGGCAACTGACGGTAACGGTAATTGTGTAAATTTTATTACTTTCTGGATCATTCAGCGGGATTATAAACAATTTAACAATTAATAAATAAATGAAATTTGGTTTGCTTATGCTTAATTCATATTAATATTAAAATTAAAATTTAAAATTATTTAAAATTAATTAAATTTAAAATTAATTAAAATTAATATTAATATTAATATTAAAAATAAATGTGATATACAACTTGGCATTTTTGCGGGATTATAAAAAATTTAACAATTAATGAATAAATGAAATTTGGTTAGCTTATGCTTAATTAATAGTAATATTAAAATTAAAATTTAAAATTATTTAATATTAATATTAATATTAAAAATAAATGTGATATACAACTTGGCATTTTTGCGGGATTATAAAGAATTTAACAATTAATAAATAAATGAAATTTAGTTAGCTTATGCTTAATTAATAGTAATATTAAAATTACAATTTAAAATTATATAAAATTAATTAAATTTAAAATTAATTAATATCAATATTAATATTAAAAAAATAATTGTGATATACAGCTTGCCATTTTTGCGGGATTATAAAGAATTTGACAATTAATAAATAAATGAAATGACAGATAGTAAAAACAATTGACGCTCACGCTCACGCTGCCCTACCTCTGTGGCGTGAGCATGTGTGAGCGCAAAATATGTGCTACGAGCATCCTACGATGATGCTACGAGCGTACTTATGCCACACTCACAGCGCCAAGTCGAACGATGAAAGCGCGCTCACGGCGCGCTCACAGCGCGTAAGCGTCCAAGTCGAATGCACCCAATATGTTGTAAATTAAGTTGAAATCATTTATCACATTGAAAAAAGAATATTAATAAAACTAGACTATTGTTTAGCGCATAATTATTATCTATTTTATTTTTGTAAAAATATTTAAAAATGTCAGAGAAAACAATTATGTCTATGAATGATAGGGCAGTTAAAATTGAACCACCAGAAGACATAAAACTCGAAATAGAAGATGATTTTGATAATCCCGACGGTATTGTTAAATCTGAATCGTGTTCTGAAGATAATGACATGTGTTTAGAAAGATTTATGAATTCCGAAGTGACAATTGAAGAAGAAGTCAAACAGGAGTTAGTCGAGACATCAACTTATGAGTGTGACGTATGCAATAGATCATTTGCAGAATCAGATCATTTAAAAGAGCATATGACCGATCATATTCCTAATAATAGCAAAGAAAGTCCTTTCAAATGCGAAATCTGTTCCAAGACTTTTGGTCGATTAATGGTTCTGAAAAGGCACGTGCTCATTCATAATGGAATACGCCCCCATGAATGCAATATATGCAAAAAGCCATATACGCGATCAGATAGTCTGAAAAGACACATGCTGACACATAGCGAAATACGTCCCTATGAATGCAACATATGCAATAAGACATTCGCAGATTTCAGTAATCTGAAAAGTCACAAGCTGAGACACAGTGGAGTACGTCCTCATGTTTGCAATATATGCAATAAGACATTCACACAATTATCTAATCTGAAAAGTCACATGCTTATTCACAGAGGTGAGCGACCCCATCGATGCAGTATATGTAATAAGTCTTTCACACTATCAACTAATCTGAAAAGTCACATGCTTATTCACAGTGGTGAGCGACCTCATCAATGCAATATATGCAAAAAGAAATTTACACAATCAGGTCATCTGAAAAGTCACATGCTTATTCACAGTGAAGTACGCCCTCATGAATGCAATATATGCAAAAAGAAATTTACACAAACAAGTAATTTGAAAAGGCACATGCTGATTCATAAATGAGAGCATCCTGATAAATGTGAAGTATGTAATAAGGAATTTACTCAATCGAAGGATTTGAAGAGACACATGACACTTCACAGTCAGAAGCATGGTGAAGATCAATGCATCATAAGCATATTTGTTCACTTAAATTTAAATATTGTAATTTTTTTTCCATCTTATGGAATGTATAAATAGTATGAAATATACACATTACATAATATCAATATTATTTCATAATTTTTTATTCATATTTTAATTTTCATAAATTAAGTATTAATAATGTGGATTAGTAACCATTGGTTTTCAGTTCAAATACAAATTGGTCTGGAGTAGCTTTAACTTTCTCTAAGACCGTATTTAATATTAAACAGAAGTTTAGAAGTAAAAGATTGGTACAACATTCTTGTCTAATTATAAGAAAATGTTTTAGAAAATTTATTCAGCTACAATTTTCTTAAGAATAGAATTTAGTTATAGAAAGTAATATAAAAGTTATTAATAAAAACACCGAAAAATATCTTTGAACCACAAAATGTCCGACAAGTTTTTAGCATTAAGCAATTACAAAATTATTTTAAAAATATATGCAGAAATTTTACATAATTTTTGTGTAAGAAAATGTTTCAGAGAATTTATTCAACTTTAGCTTTGTCAAAGACTATATTTGGTATCCCGCAAAGTTCTACTTCAAAAATATTTTAAAAATATAAGCACACATTTTACAACATTTTTGTTGAAGAAAATGTGTTAGGGAATTTATTCAACAATAACTTTGTTAAAGATAGTATTTAGTTATAACAAGTAATTTAAAAGTTATTAATAAAAATATAAATAAATACCCATATCGACTTCTCTCCATCAGACAAGCACTTTATATTGGAATATTCATAAAAATTTTCGTTCTAATTTTAATTAAATTTATTTTTTCTGTTAATACATAAATGCATTCATACAATTTAGAGAACTATTTAATTTAAATGATATAAAATATATATAATTTAGTTACTAAATTTTTTATTTAATATTTTTCTAACAAATTATTACTTAATTTTTGGTACTTTCACGTTAACATCTTCTACAAAACCATTATTTTAACTACAGAAATTAAAATTATTACTTACAACACAATTTAATTTCACACAGAACACTTAAATCCGATTTAAATCGATTAAATAAAATATTTATACAAACCCGACGAAAGTCACTTTAAAACTGATTTCAATTCAGAAAAATATTAAATGCATTATTACATAATATTTACTTACAATTACTTACAATTAGTGCTGTAAATTCAGGACATTTATTCATGATTATAATCATATATATCTATATATTATAATTATATATACAGTCGGTCAAGTAAGAGCGTGGTCGGGTTAATTTATAAAAATAATTATTTTATGAAACTTTAATATTTATATATGCATTGTATACGTTAAAAGCAAGGATGCAATTTTAGTCAATATGTGTCCAGTCACCACCGGAGTCGACAATTGCCTGGCATCTCCGACGCCTGCTTTTTACTAATTTAACGGATTATTTTAATTTTAACGGAGTCCGACGGCTCGTATTTTAATTTAACGGCACGACGAGAGCAGTACGTGCTCATATAGAACTTTCATCAGTGAAAATGACATTTTCAAAATCTCTAACAATATTTTCATGTGCTCAAGCGGAAAAGAAGCACATGTTTTTCAGTTTTCCTCCCCGTTGTGTTGCGCCATTTCAGATCATGAATACGAAGAAAGGTTCAGATAGTTTTGTAGATATTTTTGTAGATATTTCTAAACATTTTGCCATTAATTTTGCTCGTCCTTGCTGCAGTGTTAAAGCAGGATTCCGCAAATACCCATTCACTGTTTTTTTTTCTTCTTTTTTATTTGAATCACGTTCTGATAAATCATCGACTTTTTTTAGCAACTTTATATAGGTGTATCGAATTCTGCACAAATGCCTTCAACTTTCTCATATATTTAGCAGCAGCTGATTGCTACATTTGGGTACCTTTTAGGTGCATGCAAAAGGGCGCAGCCTCGTAGCGCGACGCGTAACTTAGCACTCATGGCGTTTAACGTAATTTTTTTCTCAAAAGATCAACTGCAACTAAACCTTTTTTGACAATGCATCAAGGACAAAGCTTCACTTTATTGGCTCACGAAAGAATAAGACCGAAAATCTTTCATTAACTGTCGTTAAAGTCGACCACGCTCTTACTTGACCGACTGTATATCGATATATACTCGTATATCTATGAATTATATATTAGAATTATATATATATATCTATCATAGACTATGATTATAATCATATATATATCGATTACTCAAAAACTATAAATTTTATATGAATGTTGTATAAGGGGATATTATAGCTGGATAAATTATCTAAAATAATTACTCAGACAAAAATTATGTTAATTTATTATTTCTATTTTAAAAATATTTTTAAAATTGCATAGACGCAATGTTGTTTAGAGTAAAGACATTTTTTAACATTTTTGTTAATAACTTCTACTCTGTATTTTGTAAATATCATGTTAGATAAAATTATAGCTAATTGAATTATCTAAAACATTTTCTCAGATAAAAATATTATAAAATGATTACTTATATTTTTAAAGTATTCTTAAACTTGAATAGTCTCGAAACTGATGGTAATGGCGACGAGTGTTGTCTATTGTAAAGGCATTTTTTTATATTTCTTTAAATAACTTCTAAACTGTATTTTGTAACTAAATATAATATTAGATAACATTTTAGATAATTAAATTATTTAAAACATTTTCCCAGATAAAAACTGGCCAAAGCTATTGCTTATATATTTAAAATATGTATAAAGTCGTATACTCTAATAATAAATTGCCTTTGTAATATAAATTCTATTTGTCCGATAAAATTATTAGCAAACATATATTATTATAATTTTAAAAACTTCTACACAAAAGTTAAATAATATATCATGTTACTATATTAAAAATTGTTACAACTTTTGTAAAAATCTGTATTCTAAAAGTCTGACCATTTTTTTCTTCTAAAGTAATCTGAGTACAAATTTTGATATATATATATATATATATATATATATATATATATATTCAAAGTTTTTTCTCATTGAGATCACGTGTTACGTCAATTATTTTCATTCTGAAATTCTAAGTGGACAATGCTGAGGTTTGGTCTAGACAAGGAGACCCACAGAGGGTCTATGTACCTCTTATAATAGAAACTTATGTAATTTTAAGTATTATAATTTTTTTGAAGTAAAACTTCTTTAGGCGCAACTAGGGTGTGAATCCGTACAAATCCCAGACAGCACAAGACATGCCAGGGAATGTCCCACTTGTCCTCACAATCTCCTAATATCGCGATATCCTATGAATATGCAACGGGACGTCTCAAAACCAAAGGACTCGAGCAGGTATACGCGCACGGCTTGAGACCTCGAAACGTATATGTTTGTCCCTTTCTCTTTCGTCGCGTCGGCTGTAGGCATGGAGCGTCCTTTAAGGTTTAAGCGTTATCAATAGACGCTATATGCCGAATTATCATAGTTTTTGAGTAATTGAGTAATAATAGTGAAAATTTTATTTGTTTTATATAATTATATGAGCGTGTGTTATAAATAATTAATATTATTTATCAAAATACTCTAAAATTGAGTAATAATAGTGAAAATTGTATGTGTTCTATATAATTATATGTGCGTGTGTGTTATAAATATTGCAGCAACATATTGAAAGGGGGGCAGATATAAACGATGGTAATTAAAGCTTTCTGTGTACTGTTATTTGAAATACTATGTTACTAGTACAAATAGAATTTTTAATTTAATGCTGACATTTCTACCCTGCCAGCTTATCCAGCAGCCATGCCTAATTTTGTATCAAATGCTGTGTTTGAAAGAGAATTAACAAAGAAGAAATGCTCTCCACTATGTTTGTTGGAGGAGCTTCAACTTATGGAGGCTATTCTTCTGAGCAAAGATATCAAAATACAATTGGTAATCAAAAGTTTATATAGATTTATTTTTATTTGTTAACTTTATCATATACTAAACAAACTTCCTCTTTATATTCTGTATTTAGCCATCAGAGTCCAGCTATGAAAATCCATTTTTGATGATGGTTTGGACAAAGAATTTTGCTAGGGACGAGGAAAGGGCAAAAATAAATTTTGTGATCTAGTGCCTTGCGATGTCATCACAGGTAATTTATATATTATACTTATGATGTGTTGTAAATTATGAATTCAACTAATATATAATTAATTCCAGGAATTGCTTTGAAAAATTTGCCGCATGAGACATAGTTTACTGTTTCAGAGGCTGCAAAAAGCTGGCTGCGACGTGCCAATAAATATTATACAAGGTATTTTTGTGAGATGTGTACTATATGTTTTTCCTATTTACAAAAAAATCATGATTATTGACTGGTTAGTTGTATCAATGTTAGTGCAAAATTTGTGCTGTGTACACATTTTTAGATGTAAAAAACCAAGTTTAATATTCACTCGTAATGACATCAAATTGTGTTGATATATTTGGAATTAGAGATTATTTTATAAATCTCTGTCTATTTTGATTGATGTATCGCTCTTAAAGAACTTACTCATATATATATATATATATATATATATATATATATATACATATATATGCATTTATTCATTTGTTTTCTATTTCAGGAGAGAAAATCAACCATGAACTAGGATTGAATGCCGAATTAATTATATTTTTAATATTGTAAAATAAGTTATTTTGGATTAAAGTTGTATATATTAAATTTTGTTATAAAATTATCTCAGGATTTTGTTATTTTGTAATAAAAGTTTACTTTGTGAAATTGTGTTCTTTTATTTTATTTTTAATCCAAATTTATTTTTCATCTAAAAAGTAAAAAACAATTCCATAATTATATCCTATTCATGTCCGGAATATCCCGCGCGGGATATCCTACAGAACGTCCCATAGGTGCGACATATTAACATGTTTCGGATAAGATCAGGATAAGCTGGATATCCGTAAGGCTATCGCAGGGACAATGAATGTCCGCGCGTGGATATCCTGTGGACGTTTTTTAGGGTGTCTTGTGTTGTCTGGGATGCAACGGAAGTACGTTAAGCCCGAACTGTTCGTCATTCGCTCTCGATAAGATCATTTCTATACGCGGGTCGATTGTGATTAGCCGTCGTGTATATGAATAGATACTTGTCGTTGTATGCGTACCGATATCAACAAGGAAATCATTTCTATATTATTCGTAGTTTCTATAAATCTTTGAAGTTATTGAAATGAAAAATATTTTTTAGACAAAACAGATATCGATATTGCAGCTGTTCAAAGAATGAGATTATATCGCCAGCGAAAAAGTAAAAAAAATACAAGCAGCCACTGAATGTATGTTAATTATAATTATACGAAGTTCTTCAAACACAATTACATGATGAGTGAAGTTGCAAAAACAATATTTGTTTAGGCGGTGTTTAGCATAATCCATTTGTGTGACCGAATATTATAAAATCTATTAATCAGCAATTACTTCATTTCTCTAATGTAGGTTCATTTATAAATGCTAATTACAATGACAAACCGATCATGTCATATTTGAAGTATGTCTTTAATTACATTATTGTTTTTAAATATTATACATATTTGTAATGCTATTATAAATATATATTTTATAATTTATCATTATATAAATGTAAACTAGTTGGTTTGGTATTTAACCTTGAGGCAAGTTACATGAACTTCCCGATATGTGTAAATAATCGACTTAATCAAAAAAAATGTGTAAATAATATACTTCATCAATCCTATACTTTAAAGAAAACGAAAGTTTGACGAATTTTTAAAATTAAACTACTTGTCGTAAGGCCGCAATATTACAGTAAGTTCTATAAGACCATGATGTATATGGCCAAAAAAAGTTCCATGAAAATCGACTTAAATTTTTTTTTAACAGTTCATTACAAGAAAACCGGTCGGTAGATTTTCACCTAAAATTAATCAGTATCATTCCCAACTAATATCTTTCGAACAGTTTTTGATTTTTTAAAATCGGTTCGGTAGGATGAGCGTAAATGTGGACGAAAAGTTTAACACTTTTTTCCAAATTACAAAGAAACGGCTCGGCCGATCGTCGCACAAAACTGAGAAACGATAATCCTCATCGAGATACATCAAATGCTTTTTAAATATCTGAAATCGGTTCAGGCTTTTTTGAGAAAACGTCGATGAAAATTCTAATTTTGACAAATGCCAAAAAGACCATACTAATTTTTGCAAATTTTGACGAATTTTTAAAGCTAAACGAGTTGTCGTAGGGCCGTAATATTTTAGTATAATCTAGAAGACTATGGTATCTACCGTCAAAAAAATTATCATAAAAATCGTCGAAATTTTTTTTTAAAAAACTTTATTACAAGAAAACGGCCCGGCCGATCTCTACCAAAAACTAATCAGCACGATTCCCAACCAATATCTATCGAATGGTTTTTGAATTTTCGAAATCGATGCAGAATTGCGGGCTAAAACGTGGACGAAAAATTTTTCACTTTTCTGCAATTTACAAAGAAACGGCCCGGCCGATCGCCGCACAAAACTCAGAAACGATAGTCCTCATCGAGATACATCGAATGGCTTTTAAATTTTTGAAATCGGTCCATCCGTTTTGGAGAAAACGTCGATTTACGGCAAAAAATCTGTTCACACACACACACACACACACACACATACTATTTTCAAATTTGGTCTCATTCGATTCAGAATGGCTTGAAACGTCGAGAAAACATAAAATTAGCGAATCGGATTTTTTGATGAAAACATAAACTTCTCCTTCGGGAAGTTAATAATGGTTGACACTAATAAATGTGTGCATCACGAGAGTTACCATATTACTACTAATAAATATTATTCAAAATTGTTATATGATGCATTTATTTTTACTTAAATGTTATCTTGTACCGCAGCAAATAAGTTTTACTTCAATCCCGTGTGAACCATACGCACACTTTTTTTTGGTCGTGCGTTTTTGCAAAATTTTGGATGTAGTTTGTGAAATACTTTTTGTAACTAAGTACAGTATTAGATTTTATAGTATATTGCAATATTTTTGTCTAACATTGTAAAATTGTGCGAATACTTTTTGTCATATAAAATTGGCCTTCAAAGTACATGTCATGCTTTACAAGCAACTACTGGACATTTTTCCAGTTTTACAAAATGTCCTCAAACTTTGTTAGAAGTCATATAGATAGATAGGTGTATAAACACTTTATTCAAATCCAATATTTACAATTTGTCAATACAATTATTATTTTTATCACAATAATATGACTAAAATAATATCGCAGTTATGTTTATGAACAACTCTAGGATTAACCTAATGACAATATTAATATTTATCTTGGATTGAAAAATTCATTAATTGAATAGATAGGTTGATCTATATACAATATGTTTTTTAACAGCAGCATTGAAACCATTCCTGCTTTTACACTTCCACTCCTTGGAAAGCTTGTTGTAGATATCGACACCTAGATTGTTCCTTTGGAGGTACAACAGCACTCCTGTTCCGCGTGTTGTGGCCATGAACGTCACTCCTCAGTACATAGTTTGTTCTGTCAGCATGGACCGCAATCGCCTGCTGGTAGATGTAAAGACTGGTAACAATCAGTATTCTAAATTTGGTAAACAAGAATCTGCAGTGCTCCCGAGGTGAGACCCCTCAGATTGCCCTTACAGCCTTCTTCTGTAAGTCCATGACAATATTCCATATGAGAACACAGAGTGAAACATGGCCTCTCTGGCGCATACCTCATTTATAATGTATCTAACTCTTCTGATGGCATATATTGATTTTGAGAACTTAGTGCATATCGAATCTATGTGCCCAGGTTAGCAGACTGTCTATAGTGAGACCCAAATATTTAACTTTCCCTCCATTGCAGATCCTTACTCCTACTGGAAGTAAAGTTAATATGGACTGTTTTTTTATTGTTTAGTACAATTTTGTTGGCTGAAAATCAATTTTCAACTTGCTTTTGAGCATACTGAATTTTTTGGTTCATATTCGCGATGTTCTCGTCCGCAGCCGCCAATGCTATATCATCTGTAAACTGCGTCGTGTGGCAGCTAAAGTTCGATGGTAGATCATTCACGAATATGACAAGAAAATGTGGTCCAAGAATACTCCCTTGAGCAACCCCTGCATTTAATCTTGCTATCTCACTTTGCTTACTGTTCCATTCCACAAACTGATACCTGTTACTTAAGTATGATTGCATAAGTTTAAGAGCTACGCCTCTAAATCCATAATATTCTAATTTTCTGAGAAATATATCATGTGGAACACAATTAAAAGCTTTATTTATATATATTATTATATATCAATGAAAAGATAATAAAACTCTCTACAACATCGTGATATAACAACAACAT